GATGATCCTAAAATATTCGAGAAGAGTCTATACATTTCTAGAGCTGTCTAGTAACATAGTAACACTCTATTTGACCATTAACAGTTAACCCATTGCCCTTCCTTAGATACGTGGTGGTTCATAGAAAGTTCTCGAACATGCCATAAAATTCTAGAAAGCTCCAAAACTTTCTAGAAGTCCACCTGGCCCCGTGTCGTTCCAGAAAAGTCTAGAAAATTCCATAAATTCTATATCTATTAACCTTTGACCGGGCACAGACAGATACTGAACATTATACATATATAGATTGAATATTTCAAGTGATCTTCATGTTAGAAAAAAAAAACATAGTTACTACTGAAAAAAACAATTCACATGTGATTTTAGATATTACATTTACATATGGCTGCCAACAACATGTTAACGGATCGACAAGTGTAAGTTATCCACATTTCAACGGTTTAGAATGATTTGGAATTAGTAACTAGAAATTGAGCAAACGTAAATTTTTCGAAAAGCTTATCTGAAAGTGCTATAGATATTTTTTCAGCTAATCTTCTATGAAAAGTATAAAATTTGAAGTAGTGAGAATGTAATTTATATCACTATTCAGTTATTCACTGATTCTTATTAAACATATCACTATTGTATATAATTAGATACTTGCAATTTCTTGAAGGTATCATTGAGAGTTATTAAATCTAATGTAAATTTTTATGAGAATATTTCTTCAAATTACGTCATTTGCTTTGAGATACTGTGATTATACTTCAAGATCAAATATAAATAATTAATGAAAGATCTTATTTGAAAGATATGCCGAGTGTTATTGTCTACAAGAATAGATTAAAATATATTTTCATTTGACGTTAGCGAGATTACTTTCAAATATATACTTCAAACTATATCAGATGTAACTTGAAAATGCTCATATGATTCAATAATTACTTGATTTTAATATCGAATATGAATTCAATGAGTATTGAAAAATAACATTACATAGTTGAAATAGTACACGTGCAGCAAACAATATTTTCTCTTGAAAACATTAGAAAAATTTCGAAATAATTGAAAAAAATTTGATTAATTATAATCAACCAGCGGAAAATCATTAACTGCAAAAATAGGTATAAGAGTTTATCTCAAATGAATATCAAAAAATGTTTAGATTTATTATAAATCTATAATTCCAGATAATTTTCGTATTAAGATCAGCTCAACATATTGTTAGGTTAGTTTGATTAAGTTTTATTATTTCGAATGGAAACCATTTAAATTATACCTTCATCTGACTAACACTAGTATGATTCCAAATTGCCGTTCAACAAGATAACTAGAATTAATTTGATGAAAGAAAAAACGTTTCAAGCATTTTCATGTGAATAAATGCACTTAAATTGATCTCTTTATGATAGGTAGAGTAGTTTCTCGTTAGCTGAAAAAGTATTTCTTTTAAATACAATGAAAGATAGAAAGATGTTGATAATATATTTGAAATGATTCATGGTTGCTCTACATTCATTCTTACTACTTTATTTTAAAAACAAAATAGCTTACATTTTGCTTTTTTAGTCAACATCAGGTAATATCGATTCATGTGAATCAACGAGTTAATATGAATGAGATTTACCAAAAAAAATATCACTAACACTGCATGCATATCATTTTTTGTTTTACTTTCGAAATTTGATTTAAAAAAAAACAGTTCTTAGTGTTTTTTTATGCTCATATTCACTCGGTGAAATCATTGCCGAACGCAAACAATGTTCGTCCAAATTTATAATGCATGTACTTTTTTGATGCATTTTTCTTTCTTTCTTTCTTTCCTTCCGTCTCCATTATTTGATTGAATATAATATGAGCTAATAGAAAAGAGATTGATCAATGAGATGATCCCATATAAAAAGTTGAAAAAAACGGATAACATTTCATTCAATGTTCATTTTTTCGTAAACAATGGCAATTGATATTGTAAGTTATCTTGAGTATAATTTCGCGTTGAAATAAACATTTCGACTTACATCAAGTTGAGAATTTCTTGCATATGTAATATCTTTATTCCATAGATCAAATTTATGACTATAGTCATGTTTTGTTTTCGATGAACATATTTTTATAAAGGACTCTCGATCGCATAACTAATAGTAAATATGATAGTTTCACACCCTCATGAAAAAGACTTGAATAGAAATCAAATTCAACATATGCTAATCTATCTTTCAACTAAAATATTTTTCCTCCTAAATGAAACATAGCATCGAGTTCTTTTCAGTGATTATCTATGTATATTTCATAATATATGTATATCAAGTAAAGATTTTCTCTAGAAGTCTATCATATGTAGATTTTAAAAGATAAAAAAAAATCCTGTTAGCGTCAGTAGATGGTGCTCACTGACGCTAAATGATCATTCCTCTATTTTCGATTTTCTTTAATCATTCGTTTTGATTTATTACATAATCTCTGAATTATAACAAATCCTCGTTATTGAATTTTCTTTCGTTATTACCCAATTGTAGATATTATGTGTTCAGTGTGATATACCTATTTTCACCATCTCACATATTCGTATATTAATGTGGATGGTTGTTATTATTATTATTCTCCCTTTATGAAATAAATATCCCATTAAACAATTAATGTTGGCTTTCTATCTTGACAGACAAAGTTATTAGCTGTACAATAACTACATTCCCAAAAAGAAAGCTAACAAATCCAAGATCTTTTTCATTTATTTCATTTTAGCTTGAACAATTGGTTAAACTCATTGATGAGATCGATCATTTTGAAGCAATGTTTCGCAATAAGGTTGCTCGCCATGAAGTAATTTCAATGGATGAACTAGATCATCAATTCAAGCGCAATGCAATTGCTCGTCCTCGTCTTGTTTTACTTTGAATTACATTCTCAACTTGGAAATTATGATACAATTCGAACACCAAAACAAGGACGAGATTTTGATTATCGATATTCATCATATGATCTTTATTTAGTTGGAGCAACGTAAGAAAACAAAAAAATAATAAATTTAGAAAATAAAATTGAATTTTTTTTTTTTTTTAGAAATGAAATTTATCGATTTAATCTTAAACAAGGTCAATATCTTGAATCTCTATCAAGCAAATTAATGTATGTGAAAAATTTGAAATTCTATTTAAAAAGAAAAGATATTCTTTTCTAATGGTTTTAATGCATGTCAATTTAATCTTGAACATGAATTATTCGCTTGTGGTTCTGTTGAAGTAAATAAATAAAATTTTTGTAGATTTAAAAATAGGCAAATTTTCGTTTTTGATTACGGTCATTTAGAATGTTATGATCCTCATGTACGATCTCTCGTTGGACAAATTGATTGTGCTGTTTTTGCAAATAGTAATAGTGGTAGCAGATATAACAACTTTTGTTTATAAAAGGTAGAAATAAACTCTATTTTTCTGTTCAGTTTACCCGCTGTGTCATGTTTGAAATTTAAAGATACACTTAATCTAGTTGTTGGTATGAGTACCGGTCAAGTAAGAAAGTTCTCTTATAGATATTTATATTAATATTTAATTATTCTTTTCTTTTTTAGATTTTATTATTTGATATTCGTTCGAAAAAAAACATATTTTATCAAAGATGATAATTATGATTTACCTATAAAACGTATTGATTTTCATACACAAAATGATGATTATATATTATCAATTGATAAGAAAATTTGTGAAATATGGAATCGACATACAATAAATATAACTGAATTCCAGAGAAGAAAGTATTTCTATTAAATTATTTAGGGTCAAAAATTTAACATCAATCGAACCTGGTACACCACTCAATCATATGCTCAATATACCAGGCACTGGTACAATATGTCTCACTAATGTGATTCACCGAAAATATTTACTTATTATATTCCAGTAAGTTTCTATGAAATAAATCAATCTTAAGTTTTATAGATCTATTTATAGACATTGGGTAATGCACCAAAATGGTGTACATTTCTTGATAATATTACTGAAGAATTTGAAGAAAAACCAGCTGATACAGGTTTCATTCTGTTTTTTTTCTTCCTTTATTTATCTTTTTGGTTGGTTTTTTTTAGTCTATAATGATTATAAATTTTTAACATTAAATTAAAAGAACTTGATACACTTGGTTTATCACATTTAATTGGTTGAGATCTTCTTCGAGCTTAGATGCATGGTTATTTTATGAATATTCGACTTTATAATCAAGTAATTCTTTTTTTTTTAAATTTTATTTTAATTGATTTTTTAATTTTAAAGGCGAAATCTGTTGCTGAACCATTTGCATTTGCTGAATATCGAAAGAAAAAATTACATGAAAAAATTTATCTTAAACGAGTAAAAAGTCGTGTACCAATGCCGGTAAAATTTTATATTTTACTTTCAAATAGAGTACTTGTCTGTTTTGGTAAAATAGATTGCATCAATAGTTAATAAAGATCTTGCTTAAAAACTCCAACAAAACAAAAGTGAACTCAATATTAAGAATAAAAAGAAACAAAAATCTCTGGAAAATAAAGTCATTTTTTTTAATAATTATTCATATTGATTCAATATGATTTTTATTTCATAGGAAACACCATCGATTCTTAAAGATAATCGATTTCAATCATTATTTACAAATCTCTTGATATGCAAATTGATGCTAATCATAAATATTTTAAAAACATTGCTCCACTGGTATCTCGACTCAATAAACAGGCGGCTGTTGAAGATGAATCAATATCGGTATGAAAAAGAATTATTGAACATTTTTTCTGTATTGTTTTTCTTTTAGAATGAAAACAAAGAAGAAGAAAGAGAAGATAATTTGATTGATGATATTCTCACTTCTGAAGAAGAAGAAGAAGAAGAAACTACTCATCGCAAAACAAAATTGGTACCACTTGATGCAATAAATGATACGCTGATCAAGAAACTATTCGTTCATTATTTTTTGAGTACTAATATGTACCCTCACACAGTGCATAGCCCATGTCGACCCTTGACCCGACACAACCAGACAGACAGGCACTGAACATTATGTATATAGATATAGACTTTAGAAAATTCTAGATGATCCTAAAGTATTCGAGAAGAGTCTATACATTTCTAGAGCTGTCTAGTAACATAGTAACACTCTATTTGACCATTAACAGTTAACCCATTGCCCTTCCTTAGATACGTGGTGGTTCATAGAAAGTT